ATGTCATCACGGATAATTATCTCACGGTGCATTTGAAAGGACACTTGCACATGTGGCCTATGAAGGTACAGAAGGCAGAGAGCTCTGGCTCTGACGTGTGGCTTCAGGCGTCCGTGGATAATCCAACCAGGTGTCATGCGATGCTGTTATCATTCTCGATACTTCCTATGGATTTCATCCCAGTATTGTAGTGTTCATGGGGTTGATTGAAGGGACCATTTTTGTTTGTTCAAACCAGCTAGACACTCAATTTACCCATCAAATTCTGCATGTTTAATCCCAATATATATATATATATATATATGTTGGTGCCTTCACCTGTTTTTACGGATGAATTGAGCGTCTACTCAAAGCTCTGGTTAAGTGATTTTGTTCGAACATGATAGTTATACTATTAGTTTTTTCAGGGTGTTCAGGGTGACGTTGAAGTTGATCCATCCTCATATGAAACACCGCCATCATTAAGCGTCCCTGACTGCGATTAAAAAAACCCAACAGATTCACCATGGAACGGTCGGTGCAACTACTATGAACGGGGGAAGGGATATGAAGGGTTTGCCAACATTATGAATATATATATATGTGATTATATTCGCACTGATATTCACCATGATATTCCCATTATTGATGATCAATATCCCGTTCATATCCCATGAATACACTCATGGTAAACTAACATATTGTTCATTTCTTTTCCATATAGAAATATAGTTGATTTACAAAAAAAAAGTGGTGATTTCCCATGATTTTTTGTAAGTTTATACCAGGTACCCTCTGGTAAACTAACATAGCTATGGAAAATCACCATTTTTAATGGGAAAACTCACTATTTCTATGGCCATTTTCAATAGCTTTTTGTATGTTTACCAGGATATCCCATGAATCTCCGGCCATTTCGATCCCATTTGAAGCGCGCAGGTCTCCGGACTGCGCCAGCTGGTGTCGCAGCTCCGGCTCCGTGATCCGCAACGCTTACGTGAAGCACCGCAGCAGGCGGGGAAGCCATGGGAAACCATGGGATTTTCCTGGGAAAACCACGGGATAACCATGGGATTTTCCACTTCACCTTAGGGTAAAGCTGCGATTTGCATTTTTTTTGGGAGGAAAAGCAAGTTTGATTGAAAAACTCAGGGATTCTTGCAAAGAGGGGATTCAAAGTCTCAGAAAAATAGATTGAGAAAATCAAGGGGAAATTCACTATTCAACTAGGGTATAGTCCTAAAGGAAAGGATTAAATTGCATGAATTCAAATGATTAAACTAAACGATCACAAAAATCGCGAGACTGCGGAGGTTGGATTTTCAGAACTGACTTGCCAGGCTTGGCAGCTGCAGGAAGTCTTGAGTAGCATGGCAGTGGCTGTCAACAACCAGAACCAGCAGTTGACTTCGGAGGTGACGGGAGACAAAGGGTGAATGGGTGGTAGATTCTGTTGGTGATGTTAGTGAGCTATTATGCTATAGCTAATTCACTTGAATTTGAGATCAGGTGATATCAGATGTTACGTTTTTGCAATTTTAAGATGATGTTATAATACCTCACCTTGCTAAACATTGACAGCGTTGACTCTTTCGGAGGATATCCAAGATTCGTCGCAGTTTGCGGAATCTGAGGTTTTCTGGTGTCAAATTAGCTTCAGCTGCTGCGCAGGCCGCCCTGTTGGAAGAGGAATGTTCCTCTTTGAGGAGCCAGCTGCGTCTTGAGCCCAAGCTGTCGACCTGTCGGCAGCTAGGCCTGGAGTTGTTTGGCCACGGTCCTGTCGCTGAGGTTGTGATGTGGATGGATTGGCTGATCGTTCAGCACTTCAGGCCGATGTTCTCGACTTGGAGAGCTGGATGGTACTAAATCTCCCTTCAGTCCTGTTTCTACATTTAGAGGTATTCTTTGAATTCAGGTTATTAGATACACTATGCCACATATATATATATAGCTGATTGGTGGTTTGGAACATGAATTTTATTTTTCCATATATTGAGAATAATCATCCCAAATGACTTTCATATTTTTCAGAGGGGTTAAAACATGTTAAAACCACCAACCAGATAGCATAGGGAACAATTGCCAGCTTCGGGACCGAGCCTGGCCAGGATCGTTGTGACTTGAGTGACGAAGAAGATGACTTGCTGCAGAACATCGGGGACGGTGAAGAGGTGCCCAAAATGCCCGGCGCGGCCTGACATTTCAGTGAGACCCTGTGGGACCTAGCTATGGCACTGTGACATACTATACCCTCTGGTAAACATACAAAAAGCTATTGAAAATGGCCATAGAAATAGTGGATTTTCCCATTAAACATGGTGATTTTCCATAGTTATATTAGTTTACCAGAGGGTAACACTCCAAATGGTCCAAGTTATGCATGGAAAAAACATATTGAAAAAAAAACACCTTTTTCATGGGCAAAAGTACTAGAAAGTTTTGAGGTAATCCACCGCTCAGGATTACCGCAGGGCCCTGGAGGAGCTGAACGTCCAAGTGTCTGCCTCCGTGATGGAGCTGGAACAGGAGATGGGACCAGTTCAGTTCGGAAAATCATGGGATCATACTCAGGGGTTGGTAACTGTCCCATTTTGGGTATATTGGATATATTGGACATCACCTTATAGAGGCCATTATAGACCATATACCTAATGGTTGGGTGATGTTCAATGGGGACATTTAATGACCCATGATACTTCGGATTACTGTTGATACAGTTAAAGTACTGGTATCGTTTGCCATCAAATCAAAAATGTGCAAAAACCTGAACATTGGATTTCTTGGTATCTAAGATTGACAATGGTCATGGGAATTGTCATGCCTGAATTTGAGTGTTGTCACCAACATTTAATGGGGTTTGACAAAGTTGATATGGAGATTTAACCAAGGAAACAACATAATTGATAGTTAGTTTTATATAACCACCAGTGGTCCCAGTTCTTTATCACTCCCAGTATTGGAACATGCTAATTGTCTTACTAACTTAGGAGATGGGAGCCCCGCCTTGTAGGGTATCCTCTACTTTTAAACAAAATATTGTTAAACATGTTTTAACCAATCAAACATGGGGAAGTAATAGGGATATTAATAGATATTAATATATACTCTTGCAATCTAACGGTTTGCTATGGAAGAAACCAATTTCAATAGGCAATCTACAAAGCCTTTGTTGGGTTCATAGTCGTATACCCGGTTTTATGGCAGTTTGAAGAGGGATGACGATGATGAAATATATTAATAAATAATATATATATATATGTGATAGACCATTTGAGGGACAGTGATAATCCATATTTTCAGACAAATCCAGGTTGGCTTTTGCTGGTTATGATTTTCCCGACTACTTGGTAGTTCAATCAGCGTGTTGCTTTAATGTAGCGGCTGTAGCATTGAAGAGAGCACCTGACTTTGCTGGCGTGGCCCAGGAACAAGAGGCCGGCATGTCGAAGTTTTTGAATATGTGGTTCATGATCCTTCCAATTTTCATAAATCTATGTTAATTTAGTAAAGGTTAGTATGGTCGGAAAAAATCTATGTCGGAAAATCTATGTTTAACCTTTACTAACCTTAACACGGCCTATCCAAAGGTGGAAAATCGTTGGAAACATCTCAGAGCTTTTCGCAGAAGGAGCTTTCAGAGCTGCGCCGCAAGAGGGCTGGTGCGAGCCTGATCGGTGGGGCTGGTATGAGTAGACCCTCAACCAGAAATTTGAGCAATTGATACTCATAGATATATGGGTAATATAGTTATTAATATATGGGTAATATATTTCTATAGTATGGTTCTATTAGGTTAACCCGATATCTATGGTATAGTATTAATATATGGGTAATACTATATAGATATGGGGTTAACCTAAATAGAACCATACTATAGAAATAACTATATACTTTTATACCATTTTTTTTATATTATTGTTTACCAATTTTTGCTGATGAAATGAGGGTTATGGTCCATGGGATTTGTGATAAGTTGTGTATGTTTTTCTGAAAATCCTTTGGAAAGGCCGAACCACATGATAAGGAACAAGATGTTCTCTAGTTGTCAACTTACAAACCTGCAAGTGCTATGAGCAGTGGGGTTTCTGATGACGGCAATCCCCAGACAACGAAGATTTTGTGGTTTTGCATCGCAACCAACTTGTTTGCTGTATATTATATCTATTGGCTTAAATGTACTTAGCTGGTATTAGCTAGTACCGCAAATGTATTTTGGAATATTCTAATTCCCTGTAAATGATTATATTACATGCCTGTACCACGTAGATGGGACAGGTTGGGATGATGATGCTCACTTTCGATTCTTGCACATCAAGAAGGAGTTCCAGGCAGCGAGTTTCCTGTTACTGAGCCAGGTGCTACGAAAAATGTTACGAACCCTTGATGTTGAAAGCACATGTCACCTGCAGTTTGTGACTTTCAGGAGTGCATGAGGAACTATCTAGACCCTCCAGCCCTCGAAAATTGGTGTGATATTATATTATGGTGTGACATTATAAAGATATTATTATTCGGTGAATGATACCTATTAATTAGTATTGGGACTTTTACTCATTAATAGTGAGTACGAACGGACGGTCTAAGTACAATTGTCCCAACCTTCAATCCACGGTTCGTGGATTGGCCCATAGTTTTTCTACGACTCATTGGTGTGCTTGTCAGCGCGGGGTACCCCTCTAAAAAAAATGCAATTTGTTCATAGGAACAGGATGAATCACTGGGTCTTGTGGTACCAACTGGATTTCACCGTGCAGCGTTTTGCTCCGGTCATGGCGGATAGACACGTAACGAGCCAAGTACGGTCATAAACCTTTTAAGTTTGGTGGGTGGTAGGAATTTCATAACTCGCCAACTTGCAAAGACAAAAGGGAATTCTCACATTTTGCGATATTCAGTGCAATCACATGCATCATGTTGCCATTGAACACGAGAAGCAACATGATATATGATTCCAAGTTTCAATGCAACTGGTCCAAGAAAAGTTCACAGGTACAGGCAGATCTTCCGTACTAGACGACTGTTTGCAGCCATGCTTAAAATGCTATTGTGCCATGCTCCTGCGCCAGTGCTCAGCCCTTCACCGCGGCCAGTGCCTACCAGCTCCCCAGGCTTCGTTTCCGGCGAGCGGCGATGGCGCCAGGGTGCTGCGACGGTGCTGGGGCTGACCTCCGTGGCATGGAAAAAGAAGCGGCGGCAGCGCCGCGCCGTGGAAGGATCCACCGAAGCTCCAGCGGGTGAGGCACGACTGCCAGAACGGATCCGACGAATTGCAGCAGAGTTGCGAAAACTGGAAAGTATCACCAGTGCATACAGCCAAATTGCTCCTTATGGATTTCCACAGAAGAGCACCCCAGAAGGGCTGGCAGCCATGAATGAGCTAGAACATTTGATCAATGGGGAACTTGAGCTTGACAATCAAGAGGCGCAGCTGCTGGTAGCAAGCCTTCAACACGAGAAGAGTGAGTTTGGCCAAATTGTGTCAGAAGCTCTGCATATTTTACGAGAGGGGAAGGACCATCCTGCCTTCCCTGCAGCACAAGAAATCATCGATTTGCTGGGCCGCGCCGATGCCAATGGAGATACTCAGGTGGATCCCGCACCTGCTTGGCCGTTGCCGCCCAGTGAATCAGATTCAGCTCCCAACGCGCAAAATGCGCGCTGGCCGATTCTGGCGGCGCTGGATCAGACCTGTAAGGACGGTGAACGAAGCTTGGGCCTGGCTGAAGCGGAGTTGTACATGGAACCAGGGCAACAAAGCCAACCCAAAGCGATGACATTGAAGAAAATTTTGAAGGCTGCGCCATCCCACAAGGTGCTTGGTGCAGCAGAGACACCCATCACTGGTGTTGTGGACGTCATGGAACGTGCTATCCCCGGTGATTTATTGCTGGTGGAGGTGGATGATACAAGTTTCGACCAGGAGTTCATCAACAGCACCTTGGAGGAAGCAGATTCCCGCGAGGTGTCTGCAGTGGTTTTCTTGGCTCAGACCGTTGATCTGAAGCTATTGAAGGTGAGCTGGGAAGGAGAGCAGAGAACCTCTGTGAAAGCTGCCACTGTCCTGCCACAAGTCACCAAAGGTCAAGCCTTGGCCTTGTCCTTGGCACGTGCGTTTTTTGCCACGCAAAAGATGGGCCGAAAGATGATGAAGATCGCTGTTGTGGGCGACCATTTGGAAGTCCGAAGTGCATCCTGGCTTTTGTTCAAGATTCTGGAAATCTATGCTGGAGCCTCAAAGACAGGCTTCATCAACAACCGCTGTTCCATGATTGCCCAAAGTTCTCTTGGCACTGGAATGCTCACGAGATGCACAGTCGAGGAGATCTTGGCTGGAATGAACGCAGCTGAAGTGGACTTCTGCGTGGCTGAAGTGCTGCCCGGATCGGACAGCTTTGACCATGTGGACTTTGATCTAGTGGTTGACTTGGGTGGAGATGCCACCATTTCTGCTGCGCGGCTGGTCAGCCCGAAGAACGGGAAGAGTGAAACGAAAGGAAAGGGCAAGGCGTTGGGCAACATGGTGGAAGGGTCGGTTAAGAAGACAAGTATAGTTACTGTATGTGAAGACATTATCTATGAATCTACTGAAGCATAGAAACAACATGAAACAACATGAAACAACATGAAACAACAAACAACGTGTCAAGTGCTTGCATTTGGAACTATTTAGCCCATGAGCCTTGTGTCTTACCTTTCTTCCTCCACTCCAGTACAGGTGAGCTACAGCTTCGAAATTCCCAGAGTTCAAGTAGCAGACTTGGAGGACTATGCAAAGCTCACGAAGAATGAAGTAAGTGAGGAACTGGAACGTCGAGGAGTTGATATTTCTCCAGCTGCCAGTACTAAGAAGGAGCTACTAGAGAAACTTCAGGAGCTCTTGGTCAGTACTGATCCTGAGCCACGGCCATCAAAAACGGATAAAAACGGCCAGAATCTGCATGCGAGCTTCACATCTGTCGGACTCAGAGGTTTGGAGCTGAACTTGATGGGTCTTGGAATGGACGAGCAACTCATCTTGCCCAGTTTGGGCCTCTGCAGTCCCAATGCCATCACCGCGGCCATTTGTGCTGCCTATGTCCTGGCAGAGGATGCCACTGCCGTGTGGCAGCAATGTCTGGCGAAGCTGCCACAGATCCCACCGCCCCCGGCGACGCTGGAGCTGTTCACAGCTGAAGCCCCGAGCGCGGGCATCGCGGGCGTTTTGCACCAAGCCTCTTCGCCCAAAGAGGTGAAACTGGCCTTAGAGGCCATGGCAGAGGTGATGAGCAGCGATCGAAAGGCCACATTCACGGTGGTTTTTGGCTGTGATGGTGAGGTTTCCAGGGGAGACCGAGCCAAATATGCATGGGCACTGGCAGAACATTGTGATAGGATTGTGCTTACATCTGCAAGTCCTGGTGTGGAGCCGCCTATGCAAATTATTGAAGACATACTGGAGGCGATTCGAGGATATCGCACCTGGAAGAAGAAGAAGACCCTGCTGGAGGTCTTTGTGATTTCAGATCGAGCAGATGCCATCAAGCTGGGGGCCATCACACCGAAACGGGATGGCGAAGCACCTGATGTTACCCTAGTGTTTCCTGGCTTTGCTGGGTCGATGATTTGTCACTTTTCCATTGACTAATCCATAAAAGATTGCGAATCTAATTGCCCGGAATAGTGTCTCTGAAATGGGATAGTACCCAACTCCCGAATCTTATAAGAGTTTTCCCAAGATCTTCAGCCAAACCCACGTATGTTTTTTTCCCAGTTCGAGTTTTTCCCAGAAACCTCCCAGCCAAAACTCACCAGTTTTCCCATCCCAGATGTCCCCAGATGTCCCAGGTTTGGAAGTGACCAAGACTCCTATGACGCCACGGATGAGTTGGGCCAGCTTCGCTCCTGGCTCTTCCACGATCGCCGGCTCCTCAGCGAGGCCCTGGAGCTCTCGGAGGAGCTCCGGGAGGACGGGACGATGCCACCCTGGCTCGAGGGCTCCATGGGAAAGCGCTTCGTTGTGCCGGGGAGATCGCTCCACTGGTCCTATGGGATACTTGGAGCTGGTCATGATGTAATGTTTGGATGACATGTTCCTAAATTTTAGCACTATGATTAATTATTTAAGGGAAATAATGATAATAATAGTTTGTGTTTTTCATAGGTCATAGGCATAGGGAATGTGTTTGACTTTCTTTTGACCATCTTAAGTGCATCTCAGGATTGAGATATCAAGTGATGGACATATGCAAATGTTTCTGTGAGATCAAAATTCTGCGGTGCGTTGTCATGTGAGTGTCCGTCCAACATTACGTCTGATGCGGGTTTGAACTTCCCAGGAAAAGCCGTATACCTGTGGACCGCATGGACGATAGTGTTGAAATGCAGAGAACTTTTATCCGTCAGATCGTCAGGTTTGCGGTGGTCAAATACAGTTTGTTCATTGTTTTTTCAAAAAAAATGCATTCCTTTGAATATTTACTTTAGTATGATAATTCCTTTAAGATTTTAAGGACAATTATCTTATATTTGTTTTAGAGGGTAAAAACCACCAGCCGGGGCAGCCGGAAGTGATTCCTGGCAGCTAAGAGTTGCCAGGGCCGTGGGCGCGATCTCTTGGTTGAGCGCCTGCGATTGGAGCATCTTGGATTTTTTTCAGAGGCTGGAAGCAGCTTAGAGTACACCCAAATTGGTCGGTTTGTCTGAAATGGTGTGTTTATGTTTGTTTCATCTATTTTCATCTTATGATATTAGAATGAGGCACTGAGGCACTGGTTCAATTCAATGCATTGGTTTAAGATGGTTTAAGGGAAATTTGTTTGGGGTTCACATCAAGTATAGAGGGCTGCTACGGTAACCCCACTGGGATTGAGGTTTCCCCACCTGAATCGTGAAGACCTTCAGCAGCATGAGGCCACGACGGACGTGTTTGTTCTGGGGATGCCCCGATCCCGAAAAAAACATACTATAACCCATAGGATCCATGTATGGTATATATGCTAACATTGGGGGTATATTGATGATAAATGTTACCATATATAGCAGCACCATGGATCCTGTGGGTATAAAAATCGACAATGACGAACATCTGGCTAAAGCATGCATGGGTTCTGGATGCTTCTGGATTTTTTCTCCACTCAGAGAAACTCAGTTGAAAGCGTGTGGAGGTGACTTGCGATAGCTTGAAGTATGCCAACCAGAGACAGGCACAGCAGACAAGAAAGACAAAGGTGGCAGGGTTGGTTGGTCGCATTTCTCATTTCTGTGGAAGTTGAAAGACACCCAACCCCAACATTGGAAGAAATGGTATGGCCATGTATACATGGCATGTGCAGCTCTCTGTCATTTCTGTGGAAGTTTAAAAAAAAACTGTTCAACAAATTTTTAATTATATTCAGTCTTGACAAAACTTGAAGCACGTAGCCATTTTGGCTTTGTCACCCTTATCAGGCGGCTACCTTTCGACAGTGGCGCCGCGATCGACTGAACCTCCTTCGCCAGTGAGGGAAACCCAGTCGGACGCTGCCAAGATGTTCCCATCACTTTCAAGAATCTTAAGACCGTCAATTTACACATCAACATAAGTAAACATGGGTATTGTTTCAAATTCCCTGATTTTGGTATATTTTGGTAGGGTTCCCCATATATTTTCATATTGTACATTATTGGTATACGTATAGGATAACCCGTGGATAGCCGGATAACCCATGGATAGCCAATCCATATCAATCCCATCTATTTTCACCTCCAGATGATGATGACAACCCACATCAATCCCATTGATTCATATCAATCACAAAGCCATATACTGGTTGGTGGCTTGGAACATGTCTTATTTTTCCATATATTGGAATAATAATCCCAACTGACTAATATTGTTCAGAGGGGTAGGTCAACCACCAACCAGTTGTGTTCTATCTATAATCCCATCATATAACCATATATAATATTATATAATCACGATTATTGGTATTATAACCACTATTACTATTAGTAATACCAATAATTATATCATATATAGGTCACCCATTATGGGTCAGTTGGGTGTCCACCTCCCCCGTCCCTTTTCCGGACTCCCGAGGCACCAGCAACGTCTGCAGCAGCGGCAACGTGCCGAAAACGCGCAGCAGAAACGCTGGCAGGAGATGCAGCAGGTGAAAGAGAAGGGCAAGGTGTTGCAAGGCGGGGAACCCAGGATTGGCCTATGAAATCATAGGGATTTCATGGGGATTTGATGGTTTTTGTTCAGGGATTTCATGGGATTTAGTTTGCGAAGTTGGCTTATACCTCCAAGAATTGTTTGTTGAAAGCAGATATTTCGACCTGGTTCATGGGGTTTATGAATCAACGCACACAACTGGGGGGCTCCCGTCGTGTCGTCAAAGGTGACTGGGAACTCCTTCCCAGATGGGCAAGTCCATGGTCATGTTTGATTACCAGAGGGTATTGGAACAATATGGGACAAAACCGGTGATATCATGGCAGATCATGGCAGAATGAAATCAACAACATGTGTGGGTTTCTTGAAAATGGCTTGGACCCCAGTTCTCATCCAAGAACTACATTGGTCATTGGCAAACCAATGGTTAAAAGCGGTTCCTTTCTTAATGTCCAAAAGACGTGGAAGTCACCTCCCACTCAGGGCCTTTCTACGGGGAAGATGAATGACAATTATGGGTGGAAACAGTTGAAGGGGGAGCCGGATCAGTCTGAAGATGCTGACAAGGCCTGTATGCATTGTTCAACTGCCCAAGCAGTCATCCATTGCTTAAGGGGTATGGGTCAAAACAGATCAACACCTTATCGACCGCAAAAAACGGATGGTTTACCACAGATGATCACCGGAACAGTGAACTCCTGAGTACCCAGAAGCACTTCAGCAATTTCAATCCAACGCAGTTAGATCAGTTAGTTCATGAGTCTAGGGGGTAACAAACTACCCAAGATAGGTGATTTCCTCTAAGGGATGGATCATCAACCTCCAATTCCTATGTAAAAACTGAGTAAATCCTCATGAGAACTCAGCATTGAGGGTTGAAAAAAAAACTTTTGGTTTGAAGTCCATGATAGATATGATACCACCATTCATGAAATGATTACCATATATATAGTCCACTAATAGATCGATTTATTGACGATATAATACTGTATATATATATAATATACAAATCATTCATACATTCATACGATATATTATTTAATATATATATATATTATCATTACAATTAAATATATAATATACATATTTAAAAAAAAAGACATCAATCATAGAATCCATAGAGAGCTATCCAATCACCATCGATTCATCGCCGATGGCGGAGTTTCTCCAGGTCGACTTCTGGTGGAACGCCAGAGGGCTTTGGCCAAGCAGGAGGAGCTGAGAGCGTCGCCGATGTCACCGTGATTTTTCGACGGGGAAAATTTCTCAAAATCCTATGGATTTGCCCTGATAACTGATAGAATTCATACTGAGTTTGATGATTTATTCTGACATTTTCCGGTTGATGGTATTAAATCATATTAAAGTTAATGGATGTGAACAAATATGTCCAAACCACAAACATATTCCACTTAATGTGTAGTGTAATGGTTGAGTATCCCCGATCTTCATGCAAATCTGTGGGGATACTATGCAGAATTAGACAGAATTATCTCAGAAAAAGGTTGGTTTTAGTGGGATTGAATGGGATTTAAGAGAATTTGATGGTATCTAACAAGATTTCATGGGATTCAATGGGATTTGCCTTTCGGTAAGTTGTTGCATATATCTGGAAGCCATGGATTGTCCGAAGCTGCGCTGCTTCGCAAACGATCCCCAGGACATTGGACCTGATGGACCTGACACAAAGTTTCCCATCTCGATCTGATGGGACACTTTGATCAACTATAGTAACTAGTAGATTCATTGGAAGATCCAGTGATTTTTGGGAAAAAAAACCAGTCTCAACTGGTGAGTTCGTCGGATTTATTGGAACATATTGGAACATCGAGGGATCCCCCAGTCGTTTTTCTATGGGCTTCAATACGAGTCGTCATGGTCATCCACGACGGGATGAATCTTGATGCTTTTGAGGGGTACCCCAAATGACATCTCCATGGTTTGTTGGAAACCTCCATAAATGACGATTCTCATCCCATGATTATCCTATTAATTATCCCATAATCCCTTTTTTTTATCCCATCATTATCCCATTAAATAAAAAATATTTTCCCATTAGATTTAGATAGGCCCATTAACCATTACCCTTATTTTTTTTTAATCCCATCATTATCCCATCATTATCCAGTATTATCCCAGTAACATCCCAGTACTATCACCCTCTGGTAACCTAACACATCGCTATGGAAAATCACCATTTTGAATGAGTAAATCAACTATTTCTATGATCATTTTCCAGTTCGCAAACTGTAAACGTTTACCAGAGGCTAACCCCCATATTAGTCCCATTAATCCCATTAATTCCCATATGAATAATGGGATCCCATTGTCCCATGTTTGATGATCCCATTAAATGGACGCATCATTGCCAGGAGCGAGAGCTGGAAGCAGGTGAGGAACAGCGGCGTCAGCAGGCCATCCAGGCCCGTCCGGGTCATGGCTCCAGGCGGAGGGAATATGTTGGGTTTAACCAAGAAAAATATGAACTATATATATATTATATATATATTATATATATATTATATATATATATATATATTATATATATTATATATTATATATATATATGCTACCCCCCAAAAAAAAAAACTCGCCAGTGTTCATGTTAACGATGATAATAGTATCTACAATTGATGTAACAAGGGTGCATCCATAATGGATGGATGAATTCTGATAATAATGGTAATCATCATACTGTCTTGCAAAAAGACTTATGTAGCTATAATATCAATGACGGGTGATGTGTTCATTATGATGTTGATGAACTGTGTTTAGGTTTATTGAATGGAATTTGAATGGTATATACCGCCAAGTGTGGGTATGTCTGAAAATGATGTATGCTCCCAAATGGCCATCATAATAGGGAGAATAATGATTAGTTCAGACAAACCCATGTGTCTATGGTCTTCTATAGTAATAACTGTTTTTGCAAATTATAGTGACAATAGTATTGAAAAAATGAAGATGATCTATGATAATGAATGTTGTTAAACTAAATAATAATAATAATGTTATAGAAACAACAATCAATAACAATGATGTATCCATAATGGAGGGAGGAATGGTAACAACTGTAGCAATCATGATGTCATCATGATACTATCTGGTAAAAAGAGTAACGTATCTCATGGGTGATTAATTAACCCACCATTTTATAGAGATCAATATCTAACAAGCCCAAATCAATGGCAA